TGAACCCTAAGGATTAGGAATGGGATGTCACTTACAGTAAGTTCATATGCGAGTAAAGGCAGGTGAGCGAATACTTTCGGAAATATAGTGTATGAATGAACTCAACAAACAATATGGCCAAATGGCCTTTTGTTATATAAGATAGATAGCTAGCTAGATAGATCTCTCTGCCCTCTCTCCCTATCTCTCTCTCTCTCTCCCTATCTCTCTTTCTCTCCCTCTCTATTTTTCTTTCTCCCCCACCTTATCTCTCTCCCCCTCTTTCTCTCTCTCTCTTCCTCTTCCTCCCCCCTCTCTTTCTCTTCTCTCTCTCCCTCCCTCCTCCTCCCTCTTCCTCTCTCTTGAATCTCACTGGGCTCAAAGTTGACTCAGTCTTCCACCCTTCCAAGGTAGGTAAAATGAGGATCCAGATTGTTGAGGCAATACGCTGACTCTGTAAACCGCTTAGAGAGGGCTGTAAAAGCACTGTAAAGCAGTATATACATACGTACAGTAAGTCTAAGTGCTATTGCTATATAGATATATGTTGATGTAAACTGCACAGAGTCACGAAGGCAAGATGGGTGGAGCTGGTCATCTAATCTCTGTCCCAAAGATGCTTTTTCCAAAAAGGCAATGGTACTTTCTTGGTCTTTTTCCTTGAAAACATTTCACTTCTCATCCAAGAAGCTTCTTCAATTCAGCTTCTTGGATGAGAAGCGAAATGTTTTCAAGGAAGAAGAAACCGAGAAAGTCCTGTTGCCTTTTAGAAAAAGCACCTTTGGGACAACCATGACCTGGATGACTGTGAACCTCTATACACCTCTGATCTTTGCTTGATTTCCCAGGCATTGCCTTGCAAAGGTGGAGCTATACCTCTTTTGCGAACTCACTTTCTTTTCTTTTCCTTTCTCTGCTGCCCCCGTTTCTTTTTTTAAAAAAAGCTTTCCTTTTACTTTGCTTGCTGCACATCCCCAATTATGCACGCTGCCTGTGGACAGAAGGTCATATGAGCAAGGTAAAGAAGTAAGATCCTTACAGGTTCCTGCATAGGATGACTTAAGGGCTTATCAAGCGCTGCCATGTTGCTGGTCATATCCGGTGGGTGTGACAACTGGGGAGCATGCATGAAGTCGTTCATAGATGTCCCACCGGGATTCCCATGGGGGAAATCGAAATTGCTGTGGCCTTGGTAACTGTTACCTAAATAGCAAAGAAAAGTTTAGTCAGATTAGTAAAGTTGGAATCAAAATCAAACCAACGAGCCCAGGTCCCATTTCTGAATGAACCAGGCTCTAACCAGCTCCACATTCACACTTCATGTTGTTATCTATTAAGAGTTTCCACGTGAGCATATGGTCCCAATGAGACCATCGTCTTCTATAAAAGTTGTAATAATTAAGAGACTTCTATCCTACTGCAAAAGGGAGGGAGGGAGGAAAGGGAGGGAGGGAGGA